AAAAATACAAAAATTGGCCGGGCATAGTGGCGCACGCCTGTAATCCTAGTTACTTGGGAGGCTGAGGTAAGAGAATTGCTTGAACCCAGGAGGTGGAGGTTGCAGTGAGCTGAGATAGTGCCACTGCACTCCAGCCTGGGCGACAGAGTGAGACTCCATTTCGAAAAAAGGGGGGAAAAAAAAGAAAGGAACCAAATAATATGAGTCTGTAAATCAATGAAACCAGAATTCGATAAATTTGAAAAAGTCTCTTATACAAGCTAATGTTGAAGGTAAAACAAGTTCACTGGGGGAAAGTAAGTAGAAAGCGTTCTTTGAGGGGATTTGAACAGCCTTAGATGGAAATGACTCAGGTCTTGTTCATGTCCTCGTGGCCTCAGAATGCACAGCTCTTTCTAGATGTCTGGATGCCAGCCACAGCCCTGTGTTTACCAGCCTTGATCAGGTCCCTTCTTGCCTCCAAAAAGGGATGAAGAATAAACAGGGAAAGATATTTTCCCTGAGATAACTAGGTAAGATCTTACTGAAATAAAATCTTGAGAATTAAATATGGAAGGACCTTAGGAATCCATGAGTCCAGACCTGTTTTGCACACAAGATCCCCAGAGAAGAGGCTTGACCAAAGTAACAAGCCTAGACAATGGCAGGGCCAAGTTCCGAACCCAGTTACTGCCTCTGAAGCTAGTGCCCTTTCTGTTCTGAATGCTGCTTTTGTGTGTTTTCTTGTCTCATAAAAAGTAACACATCTCATAAAATATTTGGAAAGCATAACAAAGTGTTATGTGGCAAAAAAAATTCCCATAATTCTGTCAAAGACACAACCATTATTTCTATTTTGCTATATTCCTGTGACCCTTTCTCTATATCTAAGTCATGGAATTTTCCCATGTTATTAAAAAATCATAAATATCATTTACTAGCCACACCAGTGTGTCATTGTGTGAATGTAGCATAATTAAACCCTTTTCTTGTTTTTGGAAACTTAAACTATTTGTACTTCTTTATAGTTCCATGCAGCAGTGTAAGAAACCTTATGCATATAACTTTTTGTGTCATTTGGATTTTTTTTTTAAAAAAGAGTAACAGGAATGGAATTGTTGGGTCATAGGACATTCAACATTTTTGTAACTACATAGAGCATTAAAATTAAAATGTCTAGAACTCAAAATACATTATCCCCAAATTGCCAGCTAGAAAGTCTGAATCTACTAGTGGGGTAGTTTTAAACCTTACCTGTCCCATCATTGTTTTGCTGCTCATTGATAGGAGAGAATGAGAAAAGGTAGGTAGAAGTTACAGTTTCCTATTTAATCCCACACAGTGCATGCACAAACAGATGATGGCAAGTGTGCATCTCACTGGGTCAAAGCAGAGCACTTGGTGTATGTATGCACATACCCAAGAGGTATGTGCAGGCAAGGAGGCCCTTTCATATCTATGGGAGGATGGTCAGTTTCAGAAGAAACATATCACATAAACTTAAAAGGTTTTTCTTAATCAGGGGATTTTTTTAAGGGATAAAATGCTGTGGAATATACCTAAGAATTTTATTGATGTCTAGGCAAATTACTAACTTTCTTTACTGGGTTTAACAATTACCCTTTCAGGGGAGGATCTTGAGAAAATATTTGTGGTACAGCAGGATTATGTGGTTAAATTCCTAAACATGGTCTCATTGCTCTGACAATTATTTTCCCCCATAAACTGCTAGTTTATATTATATAGGGTGGAATTTAATGGTAGTGATTCTCATACGTCTTTAAGTAATAAATCCCTTTGGCCAAAAAAAAAAAAAAAAAAAAAAAAGAACTCTCTCTCCAGAAAAATGTATTTACCCACCGATTTTTGCATATACTTTTCAGAAGACTTAAAAAGAAATCTAAGATTATCTTCTTGCTCTTGTTTTATGAACTGGACATTTTGGTGCTTTTGACTATATTCTAAATTAAAATGAATTTATTTTCCCTGATCTGTGGTTTTTGAAATATATCCTCTCTTCTATGCTGTTATCTCTTTTAAAAACTCATGCAATCTTTGAAACAGCTAAAATTGTCATCCTAAAATGTATATTTAAAATGTCTTTCCCTACTCAAAAAGGCTCCCCCTTCCCCTTTTTTCCTACCTCTGTCTATGATACAGAAATCTTCCCACTATCCTCCTGTCAACCCTATATTCAGTCAAACAGCCAATCATGGTTGGAAATTCCATCCATCTTTTCTTCCCTTCAACGAGCATTCACTAAGCATTTACTAAGCCCAATCTAGTTCCTTAGCATGCAGAGATGAATACAATCTGGTTTCTGCAGCTATGTAGACAAAGGAATTATGATATGATGTCATAAATGCAAAAATAGAAGTGTTTGTAAAGTGTATCAGACACATTAAAGAGAGACTAATTAAGGCTTCTAACTAAGGAGTCAGAAAAGGTTTATAAAAAAGATGAATTGCAACCAGCCCACTTGTAACGAAAAGGAAGGGCATTTTAATCAAAACAGCATATATGCAAAAGCATAGAAACATGAAAGCACCCTGCTTACTTGCAACATCACAAGCAGATCTGTGTGACTTAAAGCAGAGGATGTGAAGGGGAGTGGGAAGAGGTGGGTTTGGAAGTGTAAGTGTGGACCAGAATGTGAAGGACTTTAATGTCATGCTGAAACTGATGGACTTCATTTTATTAGCAGAGAGGAGACAAGAAACGTTTTAAGCAGGGTAATGGTGTGAACCAATCTGTATTTCAATATGGATGAAAAATTAGAGGAGAAAGAAGCTGCAGAAAGCCATAAATTGAATGCAACTAGATTGCATCAATGGTCATTGATTGGATTATTGGACCCCAAAAAGCCTGCCAGCCACTCAAGATATTAAACTGACATTGCATGTATCTGATTTATCCAGGAGTGAGCAGACATATCTGGCATTTAGCAATCGATGTGTCATTAATTGAGGTATGGGACACAGGTGTCCTGAGGCTAGGGTGTTGGCAAGTAGTCATGCATGAAGGGCAGCCATATTGCAAAGAGCTGAGGAGTATGTGCTAATAGGCAGCATGTCAGTAAATAACATGTTTGGAAAACCATCAAAGCTCATCATCAAAAATAATAACTTGTGTTGGCTTCAACAGCATACAAAGTGGATATTATCTTTGTTTTGCAGATAAGGAAGCAGACTCAGATACACACAGTTACTTGTCTTTGTTTGTATATCTAATGAGTGTGTATGCCAAGATTTAAACCCAATTCTGTGTGACTCCAAAGGAGCTAGACAGAGAATGAAACTCTGTGTTTGAGACAGCAGAATAGGCACCATGCAGGAGGTCTGACCAGAGGGAAAACTGTCAAAGCGAGGCGTAAGGCAGAACCTAGGAAGTGCTGCAGCCTGGTGATGGGGTGTCATCGGCTTAGGGGTGGGCAACAGGCTCAACCTCCAGGGCCCACCCTCACCTGGAGGACTGCCCCATGGTATGAGATCTAGGGAGAGTACACTGGGAGCCTGGCCTCTTGTGGGCCACAAGATGCCAGCCAGTATCAGGCCAAAGGTCACCCCATTGTGCTCAGCCAGGCACATGATGGAAGCCTCACCACCTTGACACATGCTTCTACCATCACTGCAGCAGTGGGAAAGAATGTGGCAAATTATGCACTGTCTGGTAGTGACTATGGACTCCTTCACCTCACCCTTAATATTCTTGCCCTGACTCTCTTTGGACTTGTATTTGGATTATTGATTTAGCAGATTTAAAAGACTCATTTATAAAACAATTATCTGCTCTTTAAAGATTCACTGAAGCTCTATTTTGAGTGCTTCTTGAAAAAAATGATTTTCTTTGCATCTTTTATCAATTTCTCATGTGGTGAAAACATGGGTCTGTATACAATCAAGAAGTAGAAAGAAATCTAGAATAAGGTAGCTGGATATACAATATGAAAAAACAGGAGGGGCTCTTCAAACACCTATCAAATTTCAGACTTCTTGCAAAAAATCTTGTGCTTGGGCTTGTGGGTCTACATGTCTTGAGTGACACCATGTCTTGAAGCATTCACGTACAGCCTTGGTGGTCCAGCCCTATTGTTACAACACTGCTTTCATCCCCAACATCTATACCCCACCCTTGTCTTCAGTGCCAGCAGTACAATTCTCTGTCCTGAAAACTCCGCAGACACTCAGCCCCATGTTAGTATTTACCCTATCACATAGTAACAACAGACTGACCCATAGGCCCCATGTACTGTCATCATGTAGTTCCACATTGTGTGCCCACCCATTCCCTGTCCTCCAAACAACCACGCACCTTTCTTCCATGCAGTGGCATGATCATAGCTCACTGCAGCCTCAAACTCCTGTGCTCCTGCCTTAGCCCCTTGAGACTACAGCCATGTACCACCACACCTGACTTAATTTTTTTTTCTTGTAGAGACAGAGGTCTCACTGTGCTGCCAAGGCTGGTTTAGAACTCCTGGCCTCAAGCAACCCTCCTACCTCAGCCTCCCAAAGTGCTGAGATTACAGGTGGGAGCCACAGTGCCTGGCTTGCCATTGTTTCTTGGTTACCATATTTCTGATATTAAGACTCATTTAGCTCCCCTGAGTTTTTAACATTAATAAAATGGTCCTGGCTTGGTCCTGTTGAGCCTGTAAGATGGTGCACTAAACACCTACACAATCCACAGGGCAGGAGCCTTGTATCCTCCTCTGCTCTTGGACTGAAGCTCTTTCCTCGGTGATCTTTTGAAGTCCAGGCTTCTAAAGAAATGAGTTGCTTCAATTCCATGCGTCTCTGAGTGGCGCCTCCTGGCTGGCCTGTGTTCCCTTGGCTCCTCATATTGGTGTCAGGGCAGGAGCCAGAATGGCTAGTCTGGAGTTTCCCAAACCTGCATGAGATTTGATAGCAATTGGGAGGCTTTTCATACCAAGCAGTAAAAGTGAAGGATTTTGAATGCCCTATACCACTCAAATCTACTTATACTACAAGAAATGCCTTTGCTTGCTCTCTGCCCTCCAGGACTCTCTGCTTTTGGCTGTGTGTGCTGAGACCCCCAGGCAGCAGCAGAGAGCATAGGACAACTGTGCAGCATGGAACAGCATCCATTATAAAACATGGAACCGTCAGAAGCCCCTGAATGACCCACTACTTCATTCCGGCTACTATGACCTAACTATGCCTTCACAGCAAGACAGAGGCCCACAGCATCCATACAGGGTGGGGACTGAGGGAAAGGGAATTTTGTTGGAATTCAACCCCCAGAAATAAGAAAGCATGCAAGCTTCTGAGTACAGTCTGAGAAAACCATGCAGGACCTTGTTAATGGAAGAAAAACACTCCTTTATGGGAAGAGCTCCATAGGACCTGTGTAGAATTTTGGAATCTCTAGTAACATCCCAACTTACTTAACCCTGTTTTTTTTCTTTTCATTCATTTATTTTCCCTAGTTATTAATTCAATACCCAGTTATTCATTTTGATGACTGATGCATACTACAGTCAGGTCATTTTATTATTATGGTTAATGTCAGGCCTGTACACCACAACATCTCCCCAGCCCTGCCCTGAGAGATTCTGATTTAATTCATCGGTAGTATGTCCTGAGAACCAAGGATTTTTAAAGCTTCCCCAGAAGATTCTAATGTGCAGCCAAGGTTAAGAACCACTGATTTAGCCAGTAAATGGGGCCAAAGAGGTCCCCGGAAATTATCTCAAATATCCTCTCAAAATGAGAGACTCTTCCTCAGGAATTAGTGGGTAACCAGAGGTCAACTAGAACCAGGAATAAACCAGCAGTGAACCAGGAGTGAGTAATCAGAAGTAAACTCAAACTAGGAGTGAACCAGGAGTGGGTAACTGGGAGTGAACTAGAAGTGGGAGCTAAATGGTAGAACCCAGGTCCATGCTCTGGGCTCATTCTGAAGGTAGAATCAGGCATGCCAACAATTGATGTCTCAGTGTTCAGAGGTTCACACAGGGGAAATCAGCTGTCAATGTCCAAGAGTATCAAGGAAATGATTTTGAGATGGGTCTTTAAGAATGTGGAGAAATGTTCCAGGTGGTGAAAGGGAATAGCAATTGATTTGCAGTGGAGAGAACAGCACATAGAAAATAGCCTTACAGCCAGTGTGGTGTGTTTGGAGAATGGTGCAGTTCGCGGGCTGGAGGATAGCTGTTCTTAGCAGTGACTCCCCTAAATTGAAAAGGCTTTTGTGCTTTTCTCCTCCAAGAACAGGAAAAGTTATAGAGCTAGGAAAACTGACTCTTACTCCCTACCATTCCTGAGGAGAAAAGACCCCCTAGAAATAGAGTGAGAGGTGCAGCTCAGAAGAACCAAAGGCAAGAGTCAGTGGTTTGAGGAAAGAGGAAATGGAGTCCTGGGGAATCAACACAGTCTTGAGATGTCACCCCAAGACACCAGCAGCCCACATGTAGTCCTCTGGGGTTTACTGGTGACAGCAGTGGAACCCACTTGGAGATTTTGGTGCAAATACCAACTGGCTAATAGCTATTTGTTCATCTACATCCCAATGTTATATTGACAGATTACCAGAATTGCTGATTATCAGGAAGGGCCTCACGAATGTCCATGGTTCTCCCTTTTGAGCTGTTGTTTAGGAGTTCTTCCTATCCCCTTTACTGGAATCAGTAGTTTACACCACTTGCATAGCTCCAGCATGTATCACTATGCTTGATTTGCACCAACTCTTAACTTTCTTCTTCTTCAAGGAACTACTGAAAGTTTTTGGTTTTGATATAATAATTTTCACTGGCACTTTCTAGCCTGTAAATAAGACCCTGGAGGACAATATCCAGCAGTGAACCATGTAGTGCTCATGAGATATGTCTGGTGGAGTTAGAGAACTGCCCAGGCTCACACAAAGCAGAAGCCCAGAGTACGTGAGAGATCAGGATGACCACGCCAGGAAGAGGACTTGTTGACACCCTCCTCCATGTCAGAAAAACACAGTTCAAAAACCTTTAGGGAAGGACTTTTAATGATGGAGTTGGGGATAGATACTTTGACCCAGATGATTTCTAAATCCTCAAAAATCAAATTGATTGGGGAACAGATTATGTCAACCTAAACATGAGTTTACTAGAGAAAAGAAAGTACTGAAACAGCTATTCAAAAGAATTCTGTAAATAGTAAAAGCCATAGCCCTATATTTGGAGACAGTTCTGGATATGGCATCAATGATGGATAGTCCACTGTATCCAAAAAGCATACATAACATATTTTTCAAAAAGAACAAAAGGGTATGCAGTTAACTCAGAAGAGGAATGTTCCTTACAAAATTTACTATGCTGCACAGATTGGCCCTGCAGTTAAGAAGAGTGCATTCATTATTCTAGCAGTTTTGAGATACTTTCTCTGACATTGAACCCTTGAACTCCTATTTATTTCTTTCATTTATTAGTGATGACTCCTTTTGTCTAACCTGTGTTTGATTTGTCTTTTATAAATTGGCAACATCATTTCTTCATGATCCCCAGAGGTAACTGATGGTAGCTTAAGTCTTCATTTGTCATACATGAAAAAGTAATGCAGAATTCTGAGTGAGTTTTGAGTAGCTGGAAGAAACAAACAGATGAGCAAAAACATTTAGATGTAATATATATTTATTTAAAAATCCAGCATTTCAGGGCAGTCTGAATAGGTCAGAGATTTTACAGTGTGAAATATTTCATGGGCCTTTCAAGGATGAAGGAAATTTGTTTTTAAACACTGACTAGTTTAAAGACACCCCCGAGGTGCAAACTTTTTGCAACACATGTTTCACAGCCCCTCCAGCTCTGAACTTTTTTCACAACATTTGTCTTCCAAAACAATTTCAGCATTGTGGAAACAGAATGTTGAATATTTCAGAGCTGCAAGTCTTGGGGGAAATAGCCTGTCTTTAAGGTTAGATAAATAAGTTTAAACTATTTCTGACATTTTATAGCTGTTGCAACAGAGCAAATGTGTTATTTTGAAAGACCATAAATAACAGTGGTACGAAGAAATCTGCCTGAATTTCCTCTGGCCTGTTCAGTTAGTTGAAAATGTTTACACGTGTAACGATGCTTCTAGGTGCTGAATAAGCCTGTGGGGTAGGAGAGGGAGTTGGAGTTCACTCTGGGACTTACAGTGTTTGAGGCACCTGTGGGACATGATGTGCCAATGGGAGATGTCCAGGAGTCTTGAATTCAAGGGAGAGATTAAGATTGGATAGGTAGATGTGGGAGTTTTCAGCATAGGAATTATCATTATATTTCCCAAAGTAGATGAAATGGCCCCTGGGACAGTGCATAGTGAGAAGGACTTGGTCCTGCACTCTGGTGTGGTCCCATGCTCTTCATTTCAAACTTCCTATTTCTGATATTTTCTTTTGGAATGTAACTTTGTCAGTTTGTTCTGAGAAACTTGTGCTGGCATGGTTGTTTGGCCATCTTGGTTATTTTCATACCTTAGTTTTTAGTCTAGACTCCCATGGTTACAGGGAACAGAGAACCACCTCGAACTGGCTTAAGAAAAAATGGAGAAACTATTGGCTAATAAAACTGAAAAGTCCTGGAGTGTAGACAATCTGGACACAATTTTAGACACATCTGGATTCAGGAATTTAAATGATTTAATCAAGGATCCACCCCTTAGCCAGGCACAATGGTGCATACCTATAGTTCCAGCTATTCAGGAGGCTGAGATGGGAGGATCCCTTGAGCCCGGAAGTTTGAGGCTTCCATATGCTATGATCAAGTCTGTGAATAGCCACTGCACTCCAGCCCAGTGAGACCCCATCACTAAAAAAAATAAAAATCCATCTCTCTCTGGCTCTGTTTTTTTTTCTGTGTTTTGAGGTGGTTGGTGGGCAAGGGTTGAGGGAAGACCATGTATGTTAGCAGATGATAAGACATCATAAGCAGTTTATTTTTTGTTCTAAGTGAGATGGAAGCCATTAGAGGATTCTAAGCAAAGGAATGTCATGATCTGAGCTACCTTTTAGAAGAAACACTATGGCTACTGTGTTGAAAATAGACTGTAAAAATCAGAGAGTAAAAGGAAGGCAAGAGTGGAAATAGGGAGATGAGATAAGAATTCCAGGTGAGCAAAGCCATCCCTAAATTCCCTGCCCTGGACTCCACTTCCCTCTCCAGCTATTGTGTCAGTTCCTGATTTCCATTTATAGCAAAGTGCCTCCAGAGTAGCTTATACTTGTTGTCTTCAATTTCATTTCTCTTCATTCTCTCTTGAATCCACTCCAACCAAACATTCTCCATACCATTACCTTCATAGCTATTGTTAGGGTAGGGTCACCAACAGCTTACCATGTAAGTGTGAATTGCTAACTTCAGTGGTCAGGTGTTTTTTTTGTTTTGTTTTGTTTTTGTTTTTGTTTTTGTTTTTGTTTTGTTTTTGAGACAGATTCTCACTCTGTTGCCCAGGCTGGAGTACAGTGGTGTGATCTTGGCTCACTGCAACCCCCACCTCCCAGGTTCAAGCGATTCTCCTGCCTCAGCCTCCCGAGAAGCCAGGATTACAGGCGCACACCACCACGACCGGCTAAATGTTTTTTGTATTTTTAGTAGAGACAGGGTTTTGCCATGTTGCCCAGGCTGGCCTCAAACTCCTGACCGCAGGTGATCTGCCTGCCTCAGCCTTCCAAACTGCTGAGATTACAGGTGTGAGCCACCACAACAGGCCCCGTGGTGAGTTCTTAGGCCTTACCTTAATTGCTCATTCGACTACAATAGCATTGGACAATTATTACTCCCTCCTTCTCTGCTTCTAGGAAACCACTCTGTTTTCTACCTACCGTAGTATCTGTTCCTTTGTAGCTTCCTTTGTGCCACCTCTTGTCCCTGATCTCTAAGTTGAACTACCCCAGGCCTCAGTCCTCAGACGTTTTTTCTTCTCTATGTATACTCTCTCCCTATTGATCCCATACATGCACAAGGACTCAAATATGACATCTATATGCTGGAAACTGTTAAATTTATATTTTCAGCACAGACCTTTTCCCTAAGCTCTAGATTAACATATCCACATGCCTGCTCAGCATCTCTCCGTGGATATGTAATAGTTATTTCAAAACTAACATGTCCAAAACTGCTCTCCTGAGTTCTGCTCCCAAACTGGCTTCTCTCATAGTGTCCCTCATCTCAGTGAATGACAATGCAGTTATTTAATTTGCTTGAGCTACAAATCCTGGAGTCATTTTTGACTTGCTTTCCTCTCTCACACTGCCCCAACCCCATCAAATTTTGTCTGCTCTACCTTCAGAATAGGCCCAGAATCTGATCATTTCTTACCACCTTCATTGCTACTACACTGGTCCAAGTCACCATCATCTCTAGGCTGGATTATTTTGACAGGTTCCTCACTGATCTCCCCGCCTTTGCCCTTGCCGCCTGCAATCAACACAGCCGTCAAAGCAGTCCTTTAGAAACACAAGTCAGCTCATCCCATTCTTCAAAATCTGTGGAATAGAAACCAAATCCTTACAATGACCTATCAGGCTGCCTGAGCTCTATGACCTGAGCCCCACCTGCCACTTCTCTGACCTTGTCACCTACTGTTCTCTCCCTGGCTCACATTCCTGCAGCCATATGCTCTTTTATTTTCCTCCAAAATTGGAGGAATGTGTCCTGGACCAGTCTGATGAAGCCTGTGGTACTACTTCTGAAATAATATTTTCAAAAGGATAAAACAAAATATACTGCATTTAAAGAAAACCAATTATAATCAAAATATAGGTATCAAAATATTAATAAGCCAAATATGTGATTGAATAATATATTTACTTCATTATTAATGCATCATATTAAAAATCTAGCACTGGGTACAATAGTTACCATATTTTTGAAGTAGTGTTGGCATAAAAAAATATTTTGAGAGATCTGGTCACACTTGTAATGTGATACGAAAATATCTGTGACTTCCATTGCTGAGAGAGTTAAAGACACTGCTACCTTAGTCTGTGACTTACATTCATAATCGATAGAAGTGCTACATTTCAGCTAGAATTGATGAAAAGGTCACTGACTCCTGAATCCTATCTATGGATCCACGTGAGGCTCATGGTCCCCAGGTTAAGAACCCTGCTTCAGGGCCAAGGTGCTTGCTGTTCCCTCTGCCGGAAATGCTCTCCCTGGAGATCTCCACACAGCTTGTTTAACCTGGCTGAAGGCCTCTGGTAAACCTTGTTTCAATGTAGAATTGACAACACCGCTTACAAGCTTCTTACCGAGGAGGAATAATGAATAAGCCAATGTATTTGAAATTGTTTAGGGTCTTTCACTGTAAGAGGCTTTATTTCTTGAGAAAACCTCACTCATTAATTTGGACTAATTGTAAGAGGCAAGTCTGAATTAATAAACATCCCTGAATTGTAAAATGCTTTCAAGTCTATGAATGGCTTTTAAAAATGTTCAGTCATTTAAGCGAGAATTACTTAGGGCCTTAAAGGAAACCACTTTAATTTATAAATATTGATTTATACTCATATTAACAATTGTGTATATGTTGTGGAGGCCAGTGAAGTAAGATTTTTTCTCTTTCTAACTAATATAACCCTTCTCTAAATTACCATAGATTCCAAAATAATAGTATCTGAGTTTCTGAGGATTTTACCATACGGTCAGTGCTTTATTATCTTTGCTACTTGGGAGAGAGCATTGGCACGAGTAACCAAAAAAGTCATGCTGATGTATCTTTGGGATAGAATACGGTTTTCTTCTAGTAAATGCATTCCCTAGTTTATTCATTTATGCATTCAACAAACATTCACACATCTAATCTTTGCCAGGCCTGTACTCATGATCTACTGAGGAGAACTGAGATTAATGCAGTAATAATGCTATAAAAGAGAGCGAATAATAAAAGTGAATTAAATAATATATGAAAGAGTAGATGGATGAATGAATGAATTGATCTCACACATATCTTAGAGCTAAAATGGAACCCAAGAGAAAATTTAACAAGAAGTTAAATCAAAGACATGTTTCTGGGCTCTATTATTAACTTTTTAAAAGTTGGGGATAGGTGATGCAGATAATACATTCAATCAAAAAACAAGACACCATACCATGAAAAGTCTGACTTCTGCTCCTGTTCCCATGCTTTCCCACATCTGCACAATATGTTCCTCCTTGCAGGTATCTTCCCTATTTTTCTCTCCAGTCTACATGAGGTACAGCTTCTGTGCTCCAGTGGCATCCAGTATTTTACCTTTATTGCATGCGCTTATCCTCTTATCTCTTTGTATTGCAGTTGGCTTTTTTGATGCATGGGCCCACTCTAGATTAAGGTCCGTGAGGAACTTAGTTCATCATTATATCCTTAGCATTGCCACAGAGTCTCCTATAGAATAAGCACTCAAATACACATTTTTCAAGTGAATGAAATAATGGCAATAGTTGTATTGCATTGCAAAACATAAGATACATAGCCAAAGCTGTACTCAGAATAAAATTAATAGCTTTAAATGATTTACTTTAAAATAAGCAAATTAAATGTTAACCTCAAAGAATTTTCTTGTAGGCTAGAAATAGAAGGAAATTTGTGTGCCAAAAAAAAGTATCATGCTTAAGAAAGAAACATTAGTAATATTTCCATTAAAGTTGGAAACAAGACAAATATACCTGCTGTCTTAGACCACTGGGGCTGCTATAAGAAAAATGCTACAGACTGAGTGGCTTATAAACAACAGAAAATTTATTTCTCGCAGTTCTGGAGGATGGGAAGTCCAAGATTAAGCTTTTCATGTTGAAGGAGGTCCAAGATCAAGATGGGGGTGGGGAGGGACACAAATATTCAGTCTTACATACCTGCTATAGTGGTTATTATTCAGCATCGTTCTGGAGACACTAATACAATAAGACAAGAAAAAGAAATCAGAAGTATACATATTGGAATGGAAGAGGAAATTGTCATTATGTGCAAATGATATAATTATTTACCTTAAAAAAGATAAGAAAATCAATTAGAAAAACTATTCAAAATAATAATAAAGTTCAGTAAGATGACTAGAAACAAGGTAAATATGCAGATGTGTATAGCTTTCCTAAGTGTTGGCAATAAACAACTACAAAATACATTTTTAAAAATCTTGTTTACTGCAACAACAAAAAACTATAATGTGCATAGGAATAAATATATTAAGAAATGTATAACATCTACCTATATTGTGGTTAAGAAAGGTTCTGAATCAAATTTTACTGGTATAAATCTCAGATCCAATGTTTAATAGCTGTGACCTTTCGAAAGCTTAAACTTTCTGTATGCATATATGTGTAGAAGAAAATACTAAAAAAGATACATGCACATGTGATTAGCATCCCTTCTGCTATTTAGGGCCAGCCTAGTTTTTATAACAAAATTTAAAACAAATCTCTCAGTGTATTAGTTTTCTATTGCTGCTGTAACAAATTAACACAAACTTAGAGGCTTAAAACAATACCCATATATCATCTCACTGATGTAGTGTAGGTTATCTTGGCACAGAATAGCTGAACTCAATGTTCCACTTAGAGTATCTAAGGCCAAGACCAAGGTGGTTGCATGGCTGCATTCCTTTCTGGAGGCTCTGGGAATAAATCTGCTTCCAAGCTTCTACAGGTTATTGGCTGAATCCCTTATTATTTTAGAACTGAAGTCCCCATTTGCTTGATAGCTGTCAGCTGAAGGCCACTCTCAGCTTTTAGAGGCCACCTACACGCCCCAGCTCAGGAACATTTTATCTTTAAAACTAGCAGTGGTGGGTGATGTTGCTCTCACACTTTGAATCTCTCTGAATTCCTCCTCTGCCTCATCTCTCCTACTTTCTCTTTCT